TCAGAACTTACGACCGAGAAAAATCAAAGATTTTCCTTAATTTAATTAACAATATTCGGATTGTTAATTAAATTAACAATCCGTCGTCTATTTTTTTAAGAAAAACATCGAGAGAATATCGTTTCCCGTCTCACGGATACTCCGTAGCTACAGAACGGACAGACGTACTGTACGTCTGTTCGTTCTGTAGCTACGGGGTATCCGTGAGATGGGCAACGATATTCTCTCGATGTTTTTCGTAAAAAATTAGACTAAGCGTCCCATCAATAAAAATTCGACAAATTTGCAAGTAGTCAATAAAATGAGTGGGAGGAGCAATTTGCGGTGACGTACTCGTCAAGTCGACGTATAAAATATATTGTTGTTTATTTAAATGTTTTTTACGACGTATAAAATATATTGTTGTTTATTAAAAATTTTTTTTGTCCGCATTCCTTTCATAGACACAGAGCCAGCAGATGTACTGTATACAAGGTAAATTATGATTATTGAACTATTATTAGCCTACATTAATTATCTACAAGATGAACAGAAATGCGTAATTAATCACATATGTACCTATTATGTATTTTCATAGCAATAATGCTATGAAAATAATCTATGTGTGTAGATTATTTTTAAAATACAAATAAGGTATATTAGATGTATATGTATCATATTTTTTATTCATTTTATTTTCATTCAAGTCCTGTTTGAATTCACAAAAGTTTTATGTACCTATATTTATGTTTTTTACATAATTTTTTTTATTCCAGGTTTTGTGTGGGTTACTGTTGTCTTTTTCCTACTTCCAGTTATTTAGTTTTACGCCCGTGACGCTGTGAAAATATTTATTTATCTTCAAATTTCTGTAAGTCAATGGACTGTTACTTTACTAATTCACTTTAATACAGTATCTCTGATATTATTTAAATAGTTGATATTGATACAGTAGTTTATGTGTTTATAGCTCTTTAATTGTGTTGATTTGCATATTTACATTGCTCTAAATTCCAAATAAATATTTTTGAGTAATTTTGTTGTATTATTTACTACTAGAAAGAGTAAAAAGTATATTAACCCTCATTTAAACCTTCTGAACAGCCCGCCATTAAAACCGGAAACGGAAATAAATTTCATAAAATTGAAATTGTCATGTCTATGTCATGTCCAATGTCCCAGCCGCCATATCTGAAAATTAGTTACCCAGGCAGCCACGCTGTTTCCGTAATTTAACATTGACTTGACACTTCTTCTTGTATTTATTTTTTTTTTATTATTGTATTTATTTTTTTACTTATATTTAGTTTATGGTCAAGATTATGCTCTTGAAAAAACACGACGGACGGTCCGCGACGGACGATCGGCTCCATCTGAAAGCGCTCTGAATGCAACTACTACCTGATACCAATTACTTAGTAAGGTAAAACCAACAAGCCTCAAACTTTCTGTATTATTTTTAATTTATTTTTACGAATGTTATGTGTATGTACGTTATGTTCTTTAAAAATCAAAGAACCAATTGCCATATAGGATTTTTTTGGAGAGATAAATCCGCCACATAGGTATAGACCTTTTTTGCTATATCATATGTTGGCGTTGTAAAATATCATCAATATCTAATAATAAAAAATGTCTATTTTGCGCACACCTTTTGAGGGCGCTGTTATTTAATGAACAGATACAGAACCCATTTAATCGATAACTGAAGAAACTGATATGAGAAAGGAATTTATGAACATTATTAAGCGGACTGGAGGCCGAACCCGTTTTATATTTCGAGATGCGATCGTCGAATATTAACTATATCAAATGTGTAACGAGGAAATGTCGTGGCAGAAACAGTAGCCAACCAATAACAAATTGAGCCCATTAACCGGCGGGATAAAATGGCTATTTGGTTCATTTTGTCTTGTTCGAAACCGTGTCCGACCACCATGTAATTATTTATGTACCATTTCTGTCGTAGGGATGTGAGAAATGTATCGATACATCAGAATATCGATGCTTCAGAATAGTGATGAGCAAATGCAAAACCAAGGGCCATGATTCGGTTGATCTTGGTTTTGCAGTCTAATAGTAGACTTTCATCTCGGTCTTGGTTCTGCAGGATTCAATCTTGGTCTCGGTCTTGCTGGAAGATTCTTGCAACTCTTTTTACCAGAGGTTCTTTCGACATAGAAAATCTTTAAATACACTCACCAATTTTGTTCATATAATTTCAAGGTAAAGATTGAGAGCGTCAAAAATAGTGGTAATTTTCAATTAGTAGAAAAAAGTTAACAAACTATTAACTTTTGCCACTAATTATACATCAAAATTTGCAAGTAATTTCATTTTTGGTCTTTGATTATCATCCATCCAGAGAAATTGCGGTTAGAAATCAAAAGTTTATTGGGTGTTCGAACCTGGTCTGTTTTAACCATAGGTTTTAACAGAGAACCCCTATTTCCTGACATTGGTACCGAATTGGTACCGTATATTGAAAAGAATTGGTACCGAAAGTACCAAAAAACTGAAATTCCCGGTTCCTTAGAGGCATGGTACCGAAATTACCGGTTCCAAAAAACAGCTCCGGTTCCGGAAATGCTATAACGTACCATAACCGTGAATTGCCCTATACAGGGTGAATCTTAAAAAAGTGCAAATATTTTTAGAGGTAGTATATTTTGGCTCCAGAAATACGAGGATTTTCCTGCGTAATTTTTTGAAAAAAAAATCTGGAATTTTTTTTAAATTTTTAGTTAAAAAACATAATTTCTTGATAATATGGTAACTAGGTTTCAGAACCGGAAATTCCCGGTTCTTTTGAGATATCAAAGAGCCGGGACTCGAAATTATTAATTCCCGGTTCTTTCGGTACTTCCGGGACTCGGTAACAATAACTAAAAAATTATTCTTTTATTACGTGAGGAAGTACTGATGGTGTTTTTCATTGTTCTTGCTTCTTTTCTCTTTCTCAAATTTCTGTAATGTTTATTAACAATTATTGAAGTTTAAATATGTTATTTTATTGTTTAGTACAATGTGTTGTTCAATGTATTAGTTATCCAATGAAAATCACCTAACCAATATATTACTACAATAGTCACGGGAGGTGAGAACAAGGTCATATAAAGTGGCAGAAAAAGAACAGAGGATTTGACAAGGAGTAAAGCTACTAGTTTCCTTATACTATGCTACAATACTCCGTGTCGAATATCATAATATTCTGATGCAGTTTTACGAGACTTTCAATTTTAACTTAAATAGATATTCACCTATATGCCCTATTCTCACCCGGTCTCGTCGCATAGGAAGATAATAAATTCAAATAGTATTTCGATTATGTATACACGATTTTATTATTCTGAAGAGAATTCCCAGTCCTTACACAGTGTAGAACACGGGACATGATACCGATCGTTTATAATACCTACTAAGCATGGGAAAGACGATATTTTCGTTGCATGTAAATCCAAGAGAGAACCAAGTCTGATTTTACTAACAAATCGTGTGCGTTTGTCAATCAGGCTACACTTCTTTTTCTTTTCGGAATGTATTCAGATTCGAGTATACTGAAGACTGATCTTCCGCTGAGATATACGTAGAATTTCTGATTGTTCTGACTGATTGTGATGGTTCCTAAACGGGACATTTCTCAGACCAACGTTCACTTGCTTCCTTATCGGTCTGTTATACGTGGAAGGCGAAATATTGTTATTTGGGCTAAAACTTGAAACACTCTGTAGAGTGGTTTAACAAATTAAGGAATTTAAAAAATACTTTATCATCCAGAAGCAACTTTGCTGGATAGTTTACTTTTTGATTCCTCTCTATATAGCTTTATTTTTATTGAAGATATTCGCTTTTGATGAAATCTGCAGCATTAAAGCATGCCTCTGCTTTTGGTCCTCATCTATGGTCCTTTTAACACATCTACCAAATAGTAGTTATTGTTTTTGTAAGCCACTGTCATCAAAAAGGAATTTATTATTATTGGTTAGGTGGTAGAAATAGTTTTAGGTCTAAAAAAAGAAAACATACCTAAATACAATTAAAATTAATAGAACATTCTAGCAACAGTCTGCGATAGTCAGTTGTATGTGCGCATGATCGATATGGCTCCAATTTCTGTTCCAGTTCTCATGCATACCACCCAGACGTCACTAGAAAATAAGGAATAAATAAACACAAAGAAAGTTGACAGGAGATCTGCATTTTGTATTTTTAGGTTGTTGGTTAAGAATTGTTTATTTTTTCTGACTTTTTAGTTCGTTTAATTTAATAATTACTAAAACCAGCAGTTCCAAAGATATATTTAAAAATAAAAGACAAAAATCCAAAATATTAATTATCTATTAACATGGATTTGGACTCGGATTTGGACGATAATAGGTAAGAATACTAAATTTATTTCTATATTCGGTATAAAATTGTTTATTAGGTTTTTAGTTTGCGATATTTATGGTAAATAATTTTCATGTTCATCGTCTCTGAACTAACATGAGGACAGAGATGAGGATATCTATGGAAAAGTAACCACAAGAGGAATTGTTACATCATTTAAAGAATGTTGGGAAGTTGATTGTTTCCCATCGAAAAGTAGAAAATGCCAATGCAGATGAATATGTTGTAATAGAAGTAATTCCAAGGGTGAAGTTTATTATAATTAGTGGAAGTAATTCCAAGGGTGAAGTTTATTATAATTAGTGACCTGTGCTTCTTGAACGAAACCCAAAATTTAGAGGAAGTACTTGCATACCCAAATTTCCTTTAATGGTAGGCAGTTATTCAATACAAATTAACTTTTTAAGTGTTGTACCAACACTCAATTTATATTAATACTGGATATTAAAAAATAACACAATAAATAGTTCTTTTTTTATACTACAAAAATAAACTATAGAATACAACAGTATTTAAAAAATTAAATAAAAAAGTTTTGCCCCGGCTGAGATTCGAACTCCGGTCTCTCGCTTCCTAGCCTGACTCTTCACGCACTCCTCCAAAGTAACTTGCTTAGCGACAGTTGAATGACGGTATACAGGGTGGGCCACTGAAAACTTACAATGGCTATAATTTTTAAACCAAAAAAGATATCAAAAAAATAAAAAATACCGTTTCTATAATATCGAGGGGGAATACATATGACGTATTTTTTGAACCACTCCGACCTACCCCTAAGGCGGCACCACTACTCACTTGAAAATCTTAAATGGCAACACCCCACTTGTGGCGCCTTTTTGGAAAGCCCATGAAAAATGCTAAACGATGATCATAAAGTTTTTAGGGTGAAATTGAAAAACTACCCCTTACACGAAAAATTAGGTGGACATGAATGAGAAAAGTGATTTTTTCAGCATAAGTTACAAATTGGGACCCAGCTAAATGAGTTTTTTTTCAAACTACCCCGACCCACCCCTAGGTGCCACCCCCTCACTTCTAACCTCAAGATAGCGATACCCCACTTGTGACACCTCTTTGGAAAGCGTATAAAAAATGCTGAACGACTGTCATAATATAGAACCAAAAAAAATAGAGCCTAAAAATAAAACAAAAATGTCAAAATCTATAGAATGAATTATTTTTGTATCCATGAACCATTGCGAGAAAAAAAAGCTGGTGCAAAGAAATTTATTATAACTCTTAATGAAGACCTCATACCCTTTTAGCACGATGGAGCCCCTTCCCATTATTCTATTGTCACAAGGCAGTGTTTGGATAAATATTATCCAAGGCAATGGATTGGCAGAAGGGGTCTAATCGAGTGGCCGCCAAGATCACCTGATCTCACTCCTTTAGACTTTTCCTTGTGGGGTTACACTAAATCCATAGTCTACAAGACAAAACCAGGTTCGTTGCAAGAATTGCGGCAGACGAGAACTGAAGCATGTCGAAATATTCCGAGAGAAACTTTCCAAAAAGTGAGAGAAGAATTTGAAAATCGTTTGAATTTTTGTATGGAACAAAACGGCTGTCATTGTGAGCAATTATTAAAATAAATATATCATTTTAAATTTCTTTCAAATTGTCACACCTACATTTCTTGTCACTAACCAGTAATTAAGTTGAAGTCTGTATGACCATCTTTTAGCAATCTCAATTAGCTTTCCAAAGAAGTGTCACAAGTGGGGTATCGCTATCTTAAGATTAGAAGTGAGGGGGTGCCACCTAGTGGTGGGTTGGGGTGGTTTGAAAAATACTTCATTTAGCTGGGTCCCCATGAAAAAATCACCTTTTTCATTCAATTGTTCGTGAAAGGGTAGTTTTTCAATTTCACCCTAAAAACTTTATGATCATCATTTAGCATTTTTCATGAGCTTTCCAAAAAGATGCCACAAGTGGGGTGTTGCCATTTAAGATTTTCAAGTGAGTAGGGGTGCCTCCTAAGGAGTAGGTCGGGGTGGTTCAAAAAATACGTCATATGTATTCCACCTCGATATTATAGAAACGGTATTTTTTATTTTTTTGATATCTTTTTTGGTTTAAAAATTATACCCATTATAAGTTTTCAGTGGCCCACCCTGTATAAACAAAAAAACAGGTTCATTACAAATATCTTGACAATTTAAACTGGCGCGCGGAGCGTGCTGACCAATAGCGCCTGTTATCACCTGTGACGTAGCGACCAACCTGCGCAATATCATACCTTGTTTTCTTTGTACCATGCTATTGAACCAGACATGGAACAGACTTTATTAAATATTCTTTCAAGTTTTATAGAAATGTGTTGAAGGTTAAAAAAAGATATACTGACAAATAATAATACTTTAAAACAAGCACAGTCAAAATATTTGATAATGGAATAACATAAAAGCGGTACAACTTACAGTAGCCATACAATTACAGTAAAATATAGATAGAAAGAATTCTTAGTTCCAGGGTGTTTTGAATGTATAAAACAAGTTTTAAAGTAGATAATAATCTTCAACTTGTTTAATCAGGTAATATTAAAAAACAGATACTTACATTTGATATTCTTCAACAGGCGAACCAAATATTATATCATATTTAGGGTTGGGAATATCAGTTTCTGAGGCCGTAAGTGTTGAAGAAGATGAGGTTCTAGATAATGTTCCTAGTTTCACTTCATCATATTCATTCCTCATATCCCTAAAAATTTAAACTATTTAGCTCACTAAAAAAGGGATAATTATTTGAGTTAAAAAATAAAATATGTATATGCCTTAGAAATTTGGACAGAATTATTAGCATTTTTAAATTATTATACTATTATAGCTATAGTAAACGCCACGAATGTTTGGGAGTGATTGATCGCTTGATGAAGTTAACTATCGAAAAGAATCGACACGCGCGCTATCATTTTTACAATACAAACGTAATTTTTCACCGCAGACGTAGGTTTTTAAAGGTCCGGTCTAATCATCTGCCTGCGCTCCTCCTACTTATTCTAAAATGTTAGCGTGATTGACAAAGACGATACTATATCGCGTTTCTTTGATTGATTCGTTTTTGTGCGTCAGTCCATTGGTGTGCTTGCAGTGGGGCACGACCAATGGGGCATTCCATTTTATATTTATAACCAAATATATGTTTTGACAAGACTTTGACAGTTAAAACAACAAATTACAACAGATTATATATTGATTATTATATGACTTGAAACACCACGACACTGGAATTAAGTTTTATGTGACCTTGAACAGATTAGTTCACATGGTAGCGACCGATAAATCACTCCCAAACATTAGTGGCGTTTACTATAGGAGGTTACATTAGAATTGGCTGTACTTAAACTGCCGTTAAACGGTAGCTTACTAAAATGCCGTTAGTAGGTATGACGTCGTTGATGTGACGTACTTGACGGCTTTATGAAATATAGGAATAACTAATAAGGACTAGCCAACGCTATCCACCCCACCAAATAACCAACTTAACCAACGCAAATAATCTCGACACTGATAAACAAATATAAAAACAAATATAAATTAGTAAAAACCAACCAACCCCATCAAACAACCAACTAACCAATGAATTAACACCCTCCAAATAACCACGCTAACCAACCCGCCAAATAACTAAACCAATCCAACCAAAAAGAGTGAAATCAATACAATAAGATCACGCTATAAGCAAAACAAAATATAAAAAAGTCTTGGTTGGCGTGAGATTTGAACCACGGACCATTCGCTCACGAAGCAATAGCCTCAGCCACGGAGCCACAGGTGCTCTTGCAAAATGCTTATAGGTAGGCATTACTTTCCGCTGACATGAACGACGTCACAATATCTTAACGGCATTTTAGTAGGCTACCGTTTAACGGCTGTTTAAGTACATCGATTATAATTTCTTCTATTAAAATCACTTATAATTTAAAAATTTTGCATTCCTAGAAGCAGAACAACATAAACGAAAATTAAAAAACAGTAAAAAAACTGCGGAAATTTATTTTTCATTGAGTAGTGTAATACAGATACAGACGAAAAGTTTTTACTATTCAAGAAAGTTCAAAACTATTCATAAATATGGTAGGTGGCTCCGCCTACAAGTAGAAATCATATTTACTTCAATGTTTTCGCTCACATGCTGCATTTGTGATATTTAAGATCTTACTAGCACTAAAAGACTTGTACCTTACATTTAGTTAATTATTTATACGTTGTTTAGTTATAGGAGAAACCTTTGTAAACTGTAATAGTTTGTTGGTTTAACAATGTAAATAGGAACATGAACATGTTAAAATTCTTTTTTCCTTGCTTTAGCATGGGCGAAAGTTGACACAATATTACCAATGTTTATTGTACGGGCAACTTCATTTTCTATTGAAATAATTGCCAAAGCTGATAACCATTTTTCGCCCATAGTATTTCTTAAATAATTTTTGACAAGCTTTAATTTGGAAAAAGATCTTTCAGCCGAGGCCACAGAAACAGGTAGGTGAGAAAAATATGACACGCTGTTAAAATCTCGCTGAAACTAGAAGACGATGAAAGGTTTTTAATTAAAATAAATTCAGTGAGTTCAAAAATGCAATTGATTTCATATAAATTATTTCGCAAACATTGCCTGAAGGAGAGTAATTGAGAAGAAATCGTATAGGCAATATCATCGGGGTATTTAAGGTATCGAACCTGACCCATTTCATATATATCCTCATCAGAAACAGAAGGATTCTGCTTGATTCGCGATAGCATGTGGAAATGCGGATGAAAATGCGGAAATGCGGATGGAAATGCGGATGAAAATACGGATGGAAATGCGGCCCGGGCCCCCCGAGGGCCCGGGCCCGTGTGCTTCGCACACACGGCACATCGATAGTTACGCCACTGAAATACAGATACTACGGCCGTCTGTTCAACATAAAAAGGTCTCAGGGCAAAAATACAAAATTCATCACAGAACTTCAATACGCTGATGACTGCGCTCCAGTTGCAAAAACGTTACAGCAATTAGAAGAAACGGCTGAACACATATACCCGGGCATACGAGGCTTTGTGCCTTAAGCTGGACATCGATAAAACTAAAATGATGTGCAGTCCACCGGAAGATCACAACAATGCTATAAAAATCGGAGGACTATTGGAATATGTAGCGGAATTCAATTACCTCGGCTGTTTGATTTCGGAAAAGGCCAATATCGACTCTGAAATTCAGCACAGGATTAGCAGCGCTTCAAGAACAATCTGGAGATTAAAAGACAGGGTTTTCTACATTCATGACTTGAGCACAAAAACGAAACTTGGACTATACCAGCAATAATAATGCCCACCATGTTATATGAAACCTGGTTGCCGAACCCCGGACATGAACACATTAAACAAAAACACCTTAGACAACTCTTAATCAAATGGTTCCACCATGTCTCAAACGTATTCATCCTTGAAAAAGCTAGGTACGAGAGCGTTGAAGTCATGATTACTAAATCCCTTTTAAGATGGGCTGGTCACATATGCAGGATGCAAGAAAACCGCCTTTCAAAATCTCTTCTTTACGGTGAGCTTGTATACGGCGAGAGAAAATCGGGTGGACAACTCAAAAGATACGAGGATATTTTCCACGAAAACTTAAAGGAGATAAGCAATAAGCATGCAGTGGGAAGAAGGAAGAAGCAGCGCACAATAGAACGCAATTAAGAAGGAACAGCGACAACCAAAAAGTAAAGAAACAAGTCAATGTCCGGAGTGCGGAAGAGGGACTTTTCAGTCACGTATCATTTCCAGTCTCGTATTGGGGTTTTCAGTCACAAAAGCTTATGAAAGAAAACGCCTTGCCAAACCATTTTCTGATATGCGTGTCAAATACTCGTCAGCGAGTAATGCTAGTAGTAGTAGTAGTTCATGTTAATGTTTTCATGACTGATTACTTAATAATTTGATATTATTTTCATTAAAAAACTCAATTTTTATCACTTTTACTTTTGAAAACCATCCCTTGCTTGCTGATTAACAAACTGCATAATCATTGAACAAAGATTAGCTAGTAACGAAAGTACCTAGAAAACCGGCAAATCCCGGTTCCTTAGAGGCGTGGTACCGAAATTACCGGTTCCGAAAAACAGCTCCGGTTCCGGAAACACCAGTTACCAATAATGATTTTGCATTCAAACAAATATACACTTATATATCATCATATGAGGGACCAGGTATGCTAGCAAGATCATACACCTTATCATAATTATCTGCCAGTGAGGAGCTAATAATAAGGAAATTAATAATTAGTAAAGTTTAACTAAGAAAAATGATAATGATACAACAATGTAACAAATATACACTTAAACAAGAACAATTGATTTAAATAAGTTCTAAATAAAAATATTAGAACGTACCTTGGTTTTGATAGTGATTTTCCAGATGATGTTGAACAACTTGATGTTTCCGAGCTTGGGCTAAAATAATATTTTTATAAGATATGTATAATTTATCAGATATGTAATAATTTATAAAATATGCATACATAAAATTTTATAAAATTATATTATAAATATTATTCATATTATGTTTTTACCTATATCTAGGTTGTATAAATGGTGACATAAATGGTAGTGGCAATGCATCGGGTTTTAAATATTGTCTCTCATTTTTTGTAAAAAAATCAGATCTATTGAAATGATCAGAACAAACTACTGCTCGATTTTTCAATGCTTTGCTATCAGTAATTCCTAACAGAGAAAACCACATCAGTTTTCTAGCATTATTCTTTGGAAATCTAAAATAAAAGATAATATTATATCTTAGTAACAGAAAATATGAATAGATATTATCTGAGGTACTACCGTATGATCGAATAAAAACGGCGTCAGCGATGGCTATGAAATGAAGATCGCTGTCATTTTATATGTAAAATTATATGGGAAATGTCAGCGATCATCATTTCCCAGCCAACTGGACGCTGTTTTTTTCGATCATATGGTATTATTCTACCATCAACCCCTCTTTTTTGATGTTTTTTTTTAATTTTTGGTGCCATACTCCTCTGAAATGGCTTGACCAGTTTTGATGAAATTTTACCTATATGTATATTCAGTAGGTCTGAGAATAGGTTGTTATCTATTTTTTATACCCCTAAGTGATAAGGGTGGCCCACCCCATTTTTTTTGTCTTTTAAATGGAAACACCCTGTTCTATAGGAGATAGACAAAAACTAATATCGGTGTCTGGAGCTCAATTTTTGTCAAAAACATGATGGTGAAAACCACATATCGATATCTGTTATCGTTTCGGAGTTACGGGATGTTTTTCAAAATTATGCATTTGTAACAAGTCGCTCTAACTTTTTTGCTATGGAAAATTTTGTATTTTTATGAAAACATTTCCAAAGCACCTTTTTACGTAGAATTTAATGGTTTAAGTACCTATAGTTTTTTTAAAATTACGAATTTAAAAATTATCAACAGAAAATTTGATTTTTTATATGTGACACCCTGTATATTTTTAATATATTGAAAGAATTTAAAATTACCTTACGTTTTAAATAATAATCGAGATATAGAGTATATAAAAATTCACCCGCTTTAAATAAGTAGGCTTTGAACGGCACCGGCTGCAATGCAAAAAAATTCTAGCTGTAAGCATCAATTAAAAGGAAAATAATATTTGCTATGAGAGATGCAGAATTTTAAATTGTGTAATTTAAAATATATTTAACCAACATCAACATATTTAAACTATATCTAATACCAATAAAAATAAATAGCAAACCAAGACATGAGATTTTGCTACAGGTGTTCGACATATCAACCGTCTTCTGTTATGGACAGACCGGGCAATTTTTGAACATTTCTCGCGGAATTCATTAACTCAGTGGGGGTGAAAGATAACCTCTCATAACTGCTAAGTATTTTTAATTCTTGTCTAGATTATAAGGAAGAATAAGGAACCTTTATTCTTCCGCAAATATATCCATAGGATTAAATCCATGGGCACTAAGTCAGGCGTAATTGAGGGCTAACGGATGGGATCTTGGTTAGCTATCCATTTATTCTTGAAATTGGCCTCAAAAATTTGCTGATAACTTCAGCGTTCAGAGGCGGTGCGTCGTCTTGCTGGAAAAATATGTTTTCGAGTTCCATTAAGAGGGCATATCATCAATAAGGGGTCCAAAGCCTACTAGTTAAAAGTGGCAAACTTTTAAAAATTCTGTATTTCGAAGGGGATTATAACAAAATATCAGGTGTGCTATATTTTTGGAAAGGTAATTTTAAATTCTTTTCAGTTAATTATATAGAGGGTGTCCCAAATAAAAAATCAATTTTTCTATTGATAACTCTTAAATTATTAATTTTAAAAAAATGATACTTAAACCATTAAATTCTACGTAAAAAGGTGCTTTGGAAATGTTTTCATAGAAATACAAAATTTTCCATAGCAAAAAAGTTACAGAGATTTGTTAAAAATGCACATTTTTGAAAAACACCCTGTAACTCCGAAACGGTAACAGATATTGATGTGCGGTTTTCACCATCATGTTTTTGATGAAAATTGAGCTCCAGACACCGATATTAGTTTTCGTCTATCTTTTATAGAAAGGGGTGTTTCCATTTAAAAGCGTCGAATTTGACCCACCCAGTACAATTTTTTTATTTTTAATTTCTTATGATTTGGCATTAAAAATACATACAACCCTAAATTTTCACCCTTCTACCATCAACCCCTATTTTTTAATGTTTTTTTTAACTTTTTGTTGCCATACTCCTCTGAAACAGCTGGACCGGTTTTGATGAAATTTTATATGTATATTCAGTAGGTCTGAGAATAGGTTATCTATTTTTTATACCCCTAAGTGTTAAAGGTGGCCCACACCAATTTTTTTTTGGTTTTGGTACAAAATTTTTTATTTTTATTTTTTTATGATGTGGCACTAAAAATACATACAACCCTCGATTTTCCCCCTTTTACCATCAACCCCTATTTTTTAATAGCCATATTAGTAATTCATGGTCTGATGGCATCATATACATTCATGAGAAGTCAATGAATAAAAGTGGTTCGGCGAAAATAACACTGGTTGATTATAAAAAAATTGCATTCGGCTTTTTGGACTGTGGAAATTTACCGTCACGCCTTGTAGGATGTACAACGCGCCATCAACTAGGCTAATGGAGTTTGTGTTAAAGGGACTATGATCCTTAGCTAACTGTTTTCTGTACCTGAATGACATAGTGATCGGAAAAATAATTTGATGAACATCTGAAGAACCTAGATGTTTTAAGCGTCTAGCAAGTTCTGGTAACTTAGCCCCAAAATATGTCATCTGTGTTACAAAGGTGCGCTAACGGGGTCATGTGGTCCCTTCCCACGAGTTGCAGTTGATCCACAGAAGACTAAAAAAGGGGAAAAAACCGATACCCAACGATAAACGTAAACTAAAAAGCTTTTTGGGATTATACACAAACTATCACTGATACGTACAGGGTTGCGCAACCATCGCTAAACCACTGTCCAAACTTATCGAAGGAGAGAGGCGTTTCTCTTAGGATTCCAATTGTGACGAAGCTTTTCAAACATTGAAGAAGGCCCTAATTAGTGCGCTCATAGGAGCTACCCTCTTGCCAATGAAAATTTCACTATCTATACTTTATAAAAGTTACTGGATATTTTAGTAACACCTTATCAAAACCCGAAAAGAAGTACTGTATGACCAGAGGAGAATTACTAGCAGCAGTCAAAGCAGTAGAACACTTATACAAGTAGGTACCTCTATGGAAGAAAGTAGTCTAGTTAAACCAGATATCTATCTGGTTTTACCACCTTGTATATCTATACAAGGTGGTCCAAACTGTATTCCGGAAACTTCGACAGCATATTCTGCAGATGAAAATAAGTAAAAAAGTTCGTATAAATGTATGTCCTAACATACTTAGTTTCGGAGATACAGGGTGTAGATTTTAGGTTTAATTTTTATTTTTTCCAAATAATTTTGGAAGTAACGTCAATATTTGTATGAAAATTGGTGTCTGGGAGTTTTTTGACATGAAAAATTTGATTTTAATGTCAGTATGACTCCTACTTGTAGAGGGCGCCACCTGCCTATTTTTTAACTGTTGTACCTGTATAAAACTACTGTGTAAAAAAATATACATTTACGACGTTTTCTACGTGAAAAGGGTCTCTTGGTAAAAATCGCTACAAATAATGGTTTTCGAGATATTTGGAATCGAAGTTATCAATACCTGTTCAATACCATCATTGACATAAATTAAACATATTATGTTGACTAAATAGTTATTAGACTGAAATCATAAATTTTAAATGTTTTTGTGCCAAAAGTTCAACAGAAACTGTTTTATCATAATTTTTTGCAGAAAAATTTATGATAAAACATTTTTGTGATGTGGCGGATGCGCCAGGCTTGAACTAGTATGTCTAAAAATGCTTAGTTTCGGAGATACAGGGTGTAGAAGTTTCATTTTTATTTCGATTTTTTCTAAATAATTTCTGAAGTAACGTCAATATTTGGATGAAAATTAGTGTCTGGGAGTTTTTTGACATGATAAATTTGATTTTGATGTCAATATGACTCCTACTTGTAGAGGGCGCCACCTACATATGTTTTAACCGATTTGAAAAGTAATAACTTTTCCTTTGTACCTGTATAAAACTTCTGAGTAAAAAAATATACAGTTGCGACGCTTTTTACGTAAAAAAGGTCTCTTGGTTTAGAATAAAAATAGTCAATACATGTCATTATTATCAAAAAATAAACATGTTGAGTCGATAGTTATTTGACTGTAATGATAAATTTGGGAACTTTTTATTTTTTTAAATTAATCACAAATTTTTCTTCGAAAAAATAATTATAAAACAGTTTCTGTTGAACTTTTGGCACAAAAACATTTGAAATTTATGATTTCAGCCTAATAACTATTTGGTCAACATGTTTAAGTTATGTCAATGGTGACAGGTATTGATAATTTAAATTCCAAATATCTCGAGAACCATTACTCGTAGCGCTTTTTACCAAGAGACCTTTTTTACGTAAAAAACGTCGTAAATGCATATTTTTTAACTCAGTGGTTTTATACAGGTACGGACGAAAAGGTATTAGTCTTCAAACCAGTTAAAAGGTATGTAGGTGGCGCCCTCTACAAGTAAGAGTTATATTGACCTTAAAATCAAATTTCTCGTGTCAAAAAACTTCCAGATACCAACTTTCATTCAATTATTGACGTTACCTCAGAAATTATTTGGAAAAAATCAAAATAAAAATGAAATTTCTACACCCTGTAACTCGGAAACTAAGCCATTTTAGGACATACAATTATACGAACTTTTTTACTTATTTTTATCTGCAGAATATGCTACCGAAGTTTCCGGAATACAGTTCGGACCACCCTGTAAACTAAGAACAGACCATGCCGTTTTGAAATAATTATGACAGTCTAAAAGAGCAGGTTGCTAGATGGATTGAACAGTTACAAGAATTATACTTTGACACTGAACATTGAGCTGTAACCATCCATCGAAATGTTGACGCACTTGTCTTGTAGTTACGCTTACAGTTATGCAATGGTTACAGTTATGAAACTGTAAGCATTGTTCCTGAGCCGACGAGGGAAAAGCGAAAATCTTAACTGTGGTTAATGATTCTTGGCAACCCGAAGACCTTGCAAAAGACCAAATCAGTGATCCAGAATTAGGCATAGACAGTATAGACACCCAACGTAGGAGGAATTTTCCAGATATTCGCTGAACGTGAAGTCGTACTGGACCAAGTGGAATTCCTTGTTATAGAGAACGGATTTCTTCAGTGTATCAAGTAAATTTTTATCAAAGCCACCCAATGATTTTTCGTTCGTATATTACCGTTGAAAGAGCCATATGAAATAATACCGCGAGTATCTGCAAAATCGTTAAAAATTTTGAAATGCTCTAAATACAAAAATGTTCATATTTTAATTCTCCATCTATTAAAAAAATAATATACAGGGTGTTCCATTTTAAAAAAAACGAAGAAAAATTATTTTATATTTTAAAAAGTTTGGCGTAGAATTATGAACACCCTGTATGATTTAAGATTTACGATATTTATAGCAAAATAAGTAAAGACCATCTGAAGTAAATATCTAATCTTTTTATTTTAGTTTCAATTCTTTGACCTTATGAAATATATTTTAAGTAAATTTAATTCTTGATTTGAGGTGAGGTGTAAATAATTATTTTTTTATTTTTAATTAGGATAAGTTTTAACAAAAAGTAACAAATCTACGTTCAGGATAGAACAAGTAGAAGATTATTATTCATTATGAAAAAGACCATGTTAATGGTCGAAACGTCATGAAATCATTTTTTTTAATAAATAATAATAATTAATGGATTAAATCTCTAAAATAATTATTTACACCTGACCTCAAACCAAGAATTAAATTTACTTAAAGTAAATATCTAATAAAGTTTTTCATTTCAGGACAGTTCTTGTATTTGTAATAATTTTTTAAGGAAGGTTGAAGAATATACAGTATGTCCCCGGATTGTCTTTACAAAAGGAAAAACTTCTTTATTATTGACAATTGGAGAAAAATGCATTCTTCATAAAAATTTTTGCTTGTTCTAAAATGGTTAATCCTATTTATATTTTTCCAAATTTCCATACCGTTTTAGAGAAAATTAAGAAAAACATGAAAATATGGTTGAATTTTTTAGAAAACCTAGGCTGATCCAAAATTGTTCAAATTTGGCATGTGTATTCAGCATAAGCAGACCTTTAAAAAACCTATTTATGACTTCTCTGTCAAACAAACAGGGTAGTCAATATTTGGACAGTTCAAAATTTGCATGGGATTTCCTAGGTTTCCAACGATGATGCACCACCGGTATATAAATATAAATACAGAGATTAATAAAATTTTAACCAATACAGGGTTGTTCACCACATACGACACGGAGTATTCAATTAATTAGTATTTGGGCGGAAATAATGGTGGTATATTTAATTAATGGTATACTCTTTTTTAAAGATTTAAATAGTTTTTTTTGCATACAAATGGGCTAGTAATATTATCGTTTTGATGAAAACGATAATAATAATACTAAAAATGTAATAACATATAGGGTGTTCCATTTAAAAAAATACAACTTTGATATTTTTTATTTATTTGGGACACTCTGTATCTTGTAAAAATATTTTTAAATTGTACCTCTAATAGTCCTTCAACGAACCCAAAACTTACAATTTGTAAAAGTTTAATCGTTTAGCTACAATACTCCGTGTCGTATGTGGTGAACAACCCTGTATAATGAATCAATGATACAATGATGCAGATGGAACAAATATAAATATAACTCGCCTATGGAGAGTAGATAGAATCAGCTCAAAAAAGTTAATAAATCAGAAATTTAGTTAATCTATACTATCACCAAGGTATGTTTTTAGGCTATTTAATATAGAATATGTTTTCTAGTTCATAATGTCTTTTAGAATTCTATTATACGTGTGATCCTAGTCTAGAATATAGGATTAGAAAGTCCTTTATTTGTTCGTATGTTTCCAATATATAACTTATGTTGTAAACTTAGAGAATGTAGATGCACCTCAGCAACAGGAACCATATTAATATTTGACACTTTTGTGTAATATTTAATATTCTTTAAATTAATTTACACAGCTCCAAATATAATAAATTAAATATTTTCTACATTTTTAATCCACTATAGAGATTATTTGTATGAGTCAATGGATCATATCCAAATAGGACATCTATTGAGCACTCTATTTTACTGTTAACATTAATCAGATTGTTATTATTTTAATATTTTCCCCTAATTACATGTATAAAAATCTTCAAAATAAAGAGTGCCTTGATAGAATTGGAAACGTCGCATTGGATGTTGGCATCGAATTAAAATGTAAACAGACATCCTGTGATGTTATATTAAGGTATAAATTATTGGACTTAATAAAAATTAATGATACTGAGTGACGCCTCTATAGGATATGTCTATAGGTTACCTATGCTGACCACATGCTGACGCCATTGGAAAAAAATATAGTGCCGGCTGTATTTACTCACATATGAAATGACAGTCCAGGGTGGATTTTCCTTATTTTTTTGCACACTTCACACCTTATAACCATTTTAAAGGCTAAAGTATCTTATATAAAATGATACAGTGGCACACTTGATCTAATTTATACGAAATATAGGTTATATGATGGATATGATGTTGAATAGTTTACGTGAAAACAAAACACAAAAAAAAAACATCGGAAACACAAAACAACACTCGATAAACGCAAACACACAACGGTTACTCCTTACAAGAGGTACACAAATACTAGGAACACGAGCTTTTCATCTATTTATGTTTTTATTACGAGTGCATTGCGAGTGCACTACAATGAATGGACGGTGTTGCCAGATTTAAAATCCAGCACAAAAAAGAATTAAAATGAGAAGAATTATAAATATTAACATAAGTAAAAATTTTTAAAAGAGTAAAGGTGTGGATCCGGTAGCTGACCTTGAAGCCCATATTTGCTGCATTTGATCATCGATACTACGCAAGCGCACATCGTCGATGTTGCCAAATTGCAGTTTACTTTTGAATTATTTTCAGTTGAAAACAAATTTTTTTTGAGTGTTAATCAATAATAATAATAATACAAATTCTATAATTAATTTATAATTTCAGATTTATCTTGATATCAAAAATTAAGGTAAGAAGGATAATGGAGATTGTGAAGTTAAGGTATTATGATTATAATCGGAGTTGTAAGTAATATAATATTGTAATAATAATATTTATTTATATAATTACATTAGAATTAAAATCATTTATGGATTTTTTCTTATTGGTTTTAAACCTGTTTAAGAATTATTTTGTATCATCAATATGACACATTTATTACATCCCATTGTAGGCATACATATTTATCATATATTTTATCGAAAAATGCTTATACGATTAAAATAAGCTTTATGCTTTATCTTTTTCTCTTTAGAAGGGATATGGTTTGTGTCGTAGAATGCATTACAGTATATACAGTATCCTGTACTTTGATATTCTTTTCTTAATTTACTGTAACTTATTTCCTGTAACGCCAAAATCTTGATAATATGGTGAAGGTTCACTTTTGATCTTATTAGATATACACAGTACACAGTCCAACAAGGGTCCAACTTAAGACTTAAGTTAGTTTGTGATTTATATTAAGATATTTCTTATAATATTTGAATGTCTTAATCTTAATACTATATTATGCTTTGTATGGAAAATAAATGTTAAAATATCTTAATTTTGCATATCCTATTCCATCCTTCCATTATGAAAAATATAGTTTATAAATCATATATGCTAAGAAAATCACATAAATTAGTTTTAAGAATAGAGAAATCTTAAGGTAGCAGAAAAATTAATGCAATATATGTATAAGCAGAATTAAACAAAAGGTAACTGTTAATGTTGCTGAAGCTGATTCTACAATTTTAATTACGGAGGCTAAAAGGCCTTTTAAGGCCTCCGTAGTTTTGATGGAATGTTAAAAAAACCTATTATGAACATGACATGGAGCTACAGCATTTAAAAATTTAAAAATAGGGAAAAACTTGGACATATCCTTTTTAATTTCCCGAATTTTTAATAAAGCACTTTTTAAACGTAGCATAATAATCTAGAGCAATTAGATTAATTATAGGAATCTAGAGTTTTATTTATATTTAATTTTATTGACAATGAAAATACATAATAAGCGTTCACGTCTGCGTTCACGTGTTGTGCGAAATATTAAAATAATAATATAAATAATATACCGCGTACTATGATTGAAAAAAAATAGCGTCAGCGATGACTATGAAATGAAGATCGCTGTCATTTTATATTGGAAATGTCCTCAATCGTCATTTCCCAACCAACTGAATGCCATTTTTTCGATCATACGGTATATATTGACAAAAAAACACTGAAAAGCACATATTTGTTTTCTACTGAAAATAATTCCAAAATAACTTGCAATTTGGCAACATCGAAGATGTGCGCATGCGTAGTGTCTGTGACTATATGCAGCAAAAACTCGTTTCAAGGTCAGCCACCGGATCCACACCATTACCGTTAGTATATTCCATGACCGTTACCTTTAAAAATTGTAAGCTAATTATATTACTATTCCTTTAATATTTTCCAAAATTATACGATAAAAATCTTGAAAATAGTATCTTTATACTTTATAGAATTGTAAACATGGCATTGGATGTTGGTAATGTTGGCATGGAGTTAAAATATAAATAAATACCATAATAAATACCCGGTATCCGGAATCCGGAACAGACGAACAGCACTGGAGAAATAAGAAATAAGGTCGTCAATAGGTATGTTTTTTTTAGATATATCGATAACTAGCAATAATTATTATCGATATCTTAAAAAATATATTGAATGACAATAAAAATTATCGATATATCTTTATCTATTTGCCTATTCCTATCCCTAGGGCTATCCTATGGCCATATTGTTATCTATCGATATAATTATTGTAAACTATTAATGTATTGCATATAAATACGAATCTGAATAAAGCCTTAACCATAGAATAACTAACTGGCCTCAAATACCGTATGACCGAAAAAAACCGGCGTCCAGTTGGCTTGGAAATGACAATCGATGACATTCGCCATATAATTTTACATATAAAATGACAGCGATCTTCATTTCATAGGCATCGCTGACGCCGCCGCCGTTTTTATTCGATCATACGGTACTTGGCGTATGTATAATAATATGTATTGATATATCGAATAACAAACGACAATTACAAAATGAATCGATACATCGATATACAAGTGAGTTTTTTAAAGGGACACCGAATTTTAAAAATTTCAAATTTATAAAAAATAGTCGAATTAATAAAAGCTTAGCGAAAAACTACTCTTGGATCCATTGATAAGTATAAAATATGGTAGGATTAGAAAAAAATGGTCTCAATGGTCTTACGTTATCTTTTTTCTATAATTTGATAGATAATTTTATATGTTGACTTTTTAACACCTTATTTTGTTTTTCAATCACACATCCATCATACATCATACGGTAAAATATGAGCGTTTGAAAATATGATATAAACTAATATCGATATTTTTATATTTTGAAATTACCGAACATCCTTATCAAGGAGCTTTGTTTTTGTGGTGGCGGTCGTGGCGGTTGCCGGTACTTGTTTCAAATTTCAGCTGTTTTCAAACATCAGAAAGTGGCGGTAGGATATTTATTTTTGTATACCAGTTTGAAAATATTAATAATCCAACAAAAATACGGTATAAAACGAGGGTGAATAACATTTTAATATTAAAAGATGTACATTAAACAGGTTTGTAAAAATAGCAACATTTTAATATACGTACGTTAATAATTCAATGTTGACAAAATTAATAGGTGATCATACAAGGTTTTAAAAGCTACAGAGATCAAACTGTTGTGGAACCTTTTGATAAACGCCACAATGTAGTTGTTGGCCGTAATGGATCCGGAAAAAGTAACTTCTTTTATGGTAGGTACAGTAATCCACATAGTATTCAAATCAATTATAGTACGATGTCTTTTTTTAACCCTTAGTAATGACCCGTTCTCACAGACTACGGCCTACTTTTAATATAAATTATTTCTTCGGAATAAATTTGAATATGCTTAACATGCACATAGCACAACACATAATGAAATTGTCTGTTTTAGAGTAAATTAAAAAGTCAGCATGTATGTATCTTTTGGTACATAACTATCATGAGTAATAATGCTACTTGTTTCAAGTATGTATCAGTACTATGATAATTTTTAACAAACATGGAATAGAACTCGAAACAACTTTGTATGGCTTTACAACAACTTTGTGGACGCGCGTTTCGCTACCATGTTAGCATCATCAGCAAATGATTAAAACTTTAAAAATAAACAAAATTTCTAATAACCATATAACTAATACGTCTATGTTTACACTATCACAAAATGTAAATATATCATTGTTTCCAATTTCATAGGAAAAGTTAATGGAAGGAAAACATTCTAGAATATTTCTAGATGTATTAGTTATTAGAAATACTAATAATTGCCTGGAATTTGATATCTATATAAAAAATACAGCTACATACCGATATGTTCCTAATGAGTCTTATCATAGCGTTATACATAAGATAGCTAGTTTTAATTTCTTAGAAAGACTACTTAATTTTCCATTAAAGAAAATTTGCTATTTTAACTCAATAATATCTGCTAATCCCTGCTCCCAGTGATCTGAAATAGCCTCCGAAATGCTGCTATCTCCGTAATTTCCGTTACGATCACACTAAAGCAAACACACGGATTCTTACTCGTATGTTTCTTGAGCACAGTACGTCAATCGAAGGTCGCACTAGGCGAAAGGGGCCCGGGTGGCAATGTAAGATGTAAAGAGGGGCCCGTGTGGATTTTTTTTGCGTATTTTTTACGTTTTGGTCCATTTTTCCCTATTATATACAGGGTGAGCCTTAAATAAGTGCAAATATTTTTAGGGGTAGTATATTTCGACTCAAGAAACACGATTATGAGGTTTTTTGCTGGAATTTTTTTTTAAATTGGAATTTTTTTAATTTTTAGTTTAAAAACATACTTTGTTTGTAATATGGCAACATAGGTAGTAGATTAAATTTACAAGAAAGAAAATCCAATGTTTCTCAAAATTATAGCAAAAAATTGGAAATTTTAAAAGTGAAATAACTCGGTTGTTTTGGATTTATTTGAAAAAACAGTAAAGAGAAAATATTATGTTTCTTTTATCGAGATTTACCAGCCCTGAAAATATTTGCACTTATTTAAGACACACCCTGTATAGAAATCGGGGAACTACCCTAATGCAAGGTAAACCAATGCAATGCATAATGCCATAATGCAATGCGAAAGCAAATAATGTTAAGAATAAATAATGAACTATAAAGGGGGCCCGCGAAGGCTCCGGCCCCCCTATTATGAGCCCTAACAACTATATGTTGGGACAAGGTCTTTTTTTGCAATAAAAATAGTAATTTGTTAAAACAACTCAATTTATTTTGTTTATTATTCTAAATTCAAACATTACAATATGATCTAGACAATTTTACTATATTTTTATAACATTGCAAACAAATCACTTTAGATAACAGCTTATTTTGCCAAAATCAAGCCAAATTTGCTGACAACTATATATAGGGACAGCACAACAAGAAATTTGTTTAATACGGAGTTACATCACCTTTCGCCTTAACAACTGCCTGAACTCTTAATGGCATTGTATTTACCAAAGATTGGCACATTTGAGGAGAAAAATTATCTTTCCTGCAGTTTTGTCTGCAAATCAAAAATTGTTCGTTGAGGGTGGTTTCTTAAATATCAGCTTCATTTTATGCCACACAGTTTCTACAACATTGAGGTCCGGACTACTTGCAGGATGGGATAGAACTTTTATATTATTATTACCGAACCAATTTTTAGTTGATTTTGCTGAATGGCACGATGCTCCATCTTATTGGAAAATATAATCTTCGTTTGGAAACAATTCTGGAGCACAAGTGAGGTCTCAAGTATATGTTGATATTTTTGGGCGTTAACAGTGCCATCTATAAAATTCAATTTGCCCAAACCTCTTGCTGACATGCAACCCCAAACCATAATCCCCTTAGGAAGTTTAACAACCCTCTTTAAGCAATCTTTATGAGGCTAAGGCTTTTGCTTTATTTCGTATTATTCGTTTTCGATGATCTCCAACGCAAACATCAAATTTAGACTCATCGCTAAATATGACCTTATTCCAATCATTTTGTGTCCACGATAATTTAGATTTTGCCCAATTGTAGCGATTTTCCTTTTGAATTTCTGTCAGTAGCGGTTTTTCTTTGGCCTAAATAAAAATTTGTATTAATAATCTTCAGGTAATTGATTTTCCACACAAAATAAAGTTTACCTTGTAAAACCCCAGACCGCATTTATAGATATATTTTCAGCAACATTCTCTTGATATATTTAAACCAGTTACAGTATTCCATTTAACTGTTACTTCGCGAAGAGTACTTCTTCTCGCAGACTTTTTTTACTAAATTTCGTAAATCTCTCTGAGATACAACTTTTGGCCTTCCCGAACTTTGACCTCTAACGTCTACATTGGCAGATTCGCCGTATTTTTTTTTTATTATATTAAAGACCGTGGTTTTTGGAATACTTAAATCATCAGAAATTTTTCGAATTGTTTTTCCCGTACTGTATTGACGAATGATAATTTTGCGTAGTTTTTGATTTGTAGCTTTTCCACGGACCATTACTTTAAATTAAATTAACAAAATTGAAAATTAAAAAAATTAAAATTACTTACAGTAAATCTCACTACTCAAAGCATCGAGTCACTTACAAGCTGTCAATGCTGAAGTAAACAGTTTGCGACATTTGTGACGTTTATAGCAAAGATGATGTTTATAGCTACGATGACATTAAGTATTTAAAAATACTTGTCCCTACATTTAGTTGTCAGCAAATTTGTCCTTTTATGAATAAAATCCGCTACTGTAAATATGGATTGATTTACAAATTCATAAAAATATTGTCAAGTTGTTTAGGATATATGGCTATGTTTATATTTAAAAAATTAAACATATATTTTTCAGTTATTTTGAAAAACCAGGGCAATAATTCCAAAATATGATCTTGTCCCAACATATAGTTGTTAGGGCTCGTAGTTATATATATAATATGGCCAGTCCGACCCTGCGTTGATCCGTTCTGTAAATATGGGGTATCCGTAAAGGGTAAGGGGATAAACAAAATTCTCTATATACGAGCAATTCATCGACGTGCTATAAATAGTTTAAATAACATTACTTACTTGTACAAGAATTTCCTTAATACCTAATCAGTTTTATTTTTTACAATGTTTTTCCACGTAAATGATACATAATTTTTACAAAAATTAAAAAAATAAGGAGAAAAGTAATAAAAATTTAATAAGATCATGCACTACATGTTTTCCAAGCTCGGTCTGCTACCGTTGTATAAAAATTAGGATAAGCATGGAAGGATTCTACCATATTTTCTAAGAATTATAAGTTTAATTTTTAAATTATTTTCATATTCATTAAGTCCAAAATGCTGCTACTTCAGTTCTTTAAAAATGCATTAAAAATTTATTCGTTTTTGGACTATGTTTTGCTTCTAGACCGACGCGACGATATTCGAAATATATGGTTATGAATATCATATTTTTTAAATTTAATTGATTATTTCTAAATCTGTTTGGGTAATATTCAATTCCATTTTCAAAATTTCAAACAATAAAGGTTGCTATCTCCAGAAGTATATTTTTATTTCTTATTTCTGCAAGGCGAATATCTGCTATCTCCTTATTGTGTCTGAAAAAAATGATGTAACACCAAATATTGATTTTATTGTTCCCCAGCAAATAAAATTCTTATCTCTATCATATTAACACATGAAAATATTTCCTACATGTGTACATATTTTTTTGTACTGTTTTTTTTTGCTCTCCTGTAAAATTAGGAATAATGCAGTTAGCAGTTTATCACATTTCACCGACGATATGAATAAGTTAAGATATGGCAGATCAGATAAATCTTACGTTGCTCAACATATTGTCGATAGAAATCATTGTATATATATTAATAATTTAAAACGAATTGAACAAGTCTCAGATTTCAGGCAATTAGATGCATATGAAAGCATCAAAATTAATAAATGTAAAAATATATGAACAGAGATAATGGTCCAGTTTCTTCTAGTTCTCAGTTCCTATTTAGGGTTTCCATACGTCCGAATTTACCCGGATTTTTAAAGTGTCCGGGCGGTCCGGCAAAAACAATTTAACTTGGTAAAATATTTTACCAGTTACAGTTGAATTAATTTCTCAGTTACTTTGTTCAATATTTTAGTTTCTACGATGCTACAACTCTACTTAACGACACTTGTTCGACAGTACCCATTTCTATACTTTGGCGCAAAATTTTTCGCTCTTGGAAAGTGAATGTTTTTTTGGTTTATATTTTGCTGATTGCGGGGCTATTATTTGCGTCCTATAAAAGTTTATAAACAAATTTCTTGTTTCTTTTTTGCAACGTCCGGATTTTTTTTGTCCGGATTCCTGAATTCACTTGTCCGGAATTTCCAAAAGCCTTTATGGAAATCCTATTACTAGGTATTGCTCTAGGCTCAGTAAGTAATTGTTACGCTCAGTTGGTTCTGACTCGCTTGGCTAGTTGCGCCACGCTTGGCCGGTGCCAACTGCCCGCCTATATAACCGCTTATTTTGTAGATATTAGTTTAGTTTTAATCACCTGCTGATGTTAATATGGTTAGGGAAAACGCGCGTCCAGTGCAAAAGTTATGTGTTTTGGTGTATTGTGGTGAATTAGTGTTTTATTTTGAGAAATTTGTAAAAACAGATTTGTACCTTAAACTCTTAAATGCAATAACCAATAGTTATAACTACATTTTACGTTTAGTGAACAAATTTACTTATCTAACTTTTACTATTATTTAAGCTATTCAGTTTGTGTTAAGTGATGAATATTCACATCTGAAGCCTGAACAACGCCAGTCTCTATTACATGAAGGAACTGGGCCGAGAATTGTGACTGCTTATGTTGAAATAATTTTTGACAATTCTGATGCTAGAGTTCCAGTAAGTATAAAATATTTAATAAATTAGATTGTTGTTGTCATTAATTGTGGATTACATATAATTTCTTAGATTGAACATGAGGAAATATATCTTCGTCGGGTGATTGGTGCTAAAAAAGACCAGTATTTCTTAAACAAAAAAGTTGTGCCAAGAAGTGAAGTGATGAATCTTTTAGAATCTGCAGGTTTTTCAAGTTCTAATCCGTACTACATTGTGAAACAAGGAAAGGTTCGTATTGACACAAACAGTTTATAAATTGTATACAATATGAACTATACCCTGCTGATAATCCAATTTATGTGGTCTGGATTTTAATGCATGTGACGGAGAATAATATAAATGGCCGGTTGGCAGACAGAGAGACAAAATCAAAAGCGGCGTACAGTGTTGCCGGGTTTTTACGTTTGTAGGAAAATGTGTATAGAAAAATATACACAACTGTTTTAAAAACTTTCATGTATACTATTTAAATGATGATAATATATCTAAACTAGATATAATATATTACAGCTGTAGTAAAATGAGTAACAAATAGTGAAAAATGAAGTTCCAACCCTAGATGCAACATTTTTCCTAAACGTCTACTTGTGCGGTTTGAAATGTTGATGCAAAATCCGGCAATACCGCATAGAAGCAATGTGTCGACTAAGGTCCGACCGAACCTGGATTTTTAGTCTCGGCCGAGACCGAGAGAAAAAGAATTCTCGGCCGAGAACGAGGCCGCGACACTTTTTTTATATATTATTTTATTATATGAAAAAATATCTGATAATCTGTATATATAAATCTCTAAGTCCTGACTGATTCATCACTGACTCATCAACGCCTACACCAAACCCTTGACCCTAGAAAGCTGAAATTTTGCACAGGGGTTCCTTTTATGATGTTTACGTGGGATAAGAAAGGATTTTTTTTTTCAATTCATCCCCTAAGGGGGTAAAAAGGGGGGTGGAATATTATAATATTTTTTATTTAAAAAACGGTCAAGTTTCCGAAAAAACACTTAAACACGTATATTTTATTTTCTTTTTTTACATATTTTAAGAATTTTCAAACTGATGTGAACTTAGCAGCCAAAAGATAGCGGCCGATTTGCCGAACATAGCCGAAGGGCCAGTGGCGTCGGGCGACTTAACTTAATATGAAATAATCATACAATTTCTTGCAGGAGAATTTTATTAATATTTAAATAGTACTAAAACGAAGTATGCTTCATTATGTTAATATATTATTACCGACTCGCATATCGGATTGGTAAATACCATTTCAAATTGACACGCCTAATTGGCAGAATTTTATAAATATGTATACATTATACTAATGTAACCAAAATTAAAAAAAATAAAAAAACTAATTCATTTATGATAGTACTAGTACTACTACCTTTATCAACACACAATTGGTTACTATCATATCGACAGAAACAACAAAAAAAAGGTCATGATTTATATCACTACTAACTACAAGCACACAGTTTCGTGTTATAGATCGATTTAGTTTTCGGTATTTTCGTTAGCAGCTAATTTGTTTATACCGTTTTTCCGATTTTCTCGAAAACGGCGTATACTAACAAGATCAAAAATTTCAGGGATTATAGAGGCATCAGACTAATATTCCGTGGCGTGTTCTTGATCGATTTAGTTTTCGATATTTTCGTCAGCAGCCAATTTGTTTATAACGTTTTTCCGATTTTCTCGAAAACTACGTATACTAACAAGATCAAGAACTTTCAGGGATTATAGGGGGTCCACTAGACTAATAATAATCACCGACGGCGTCTTGATCGATTTAGACATTTTTGTAGCAACTAATTTGTTTATACCGTTTTCCGATTTTCTCGAAAACGGCGTATACTAACAAGATCCAAAATTTCAGGGATTATAGAGGCCCATCAGACTAATAATAATCTCCCAGTGGCGTGTTCTTGATCGATTTAGTTTTCGATATTTTCGTCAGCAGCCAATTTGATTATAACGTTTTTCCGATTTTCTCGAAGCTGCGACATACTAACAAGATCAAAATTTTAGGGAGTTATAAGGGGGTTCACTAAGACTAATAATAATAAATCCACCCAGTGGCGTGTTCTTGATCCGATTTAGTTTCCGGTATTTCGTTAGCAACTAATTTGTTTATACGTTTTGATTTTCTCGAAAACGGCGTATACTAACAAGATAAAATTTTTAAGAAGAGTTATAGAGGCCCATCCAGACTAATAATAATCTCCCAGTGGCGTGTTCTTGATCGATTTAGTTTTCGATATTTTCGTCAGCAACCAATTTGTTTATAACGTTTTTCCGATTTTCTCGAAGAACTACGTATACTAACAAGATCAAATTTCAGGGATTATAAGGGGTCCACTAGACTAATAATAATCACCCAGTGGCGTGTTCTTGATCGATTTAGTTTTCGGTATTTTCGTTAGCAGCTAGACTGTTTATACCGTTTTCCGATTTTCTCGAAACGTATACTAACAAGATCAAAATTTCAGGGATTATAGAGGCCCATCAGACTATGTAATCTCCCAGTGGCGTGTTCTTGATCGATTTAGTTTTCGATATTTTCGTCAGCAACCAATTTGTTTATAACGTTTTCGATTTCTCGAAAACTACGTATACTAACAAGATCAATTTCAGGATTATAAGGGGTCCACTAGACTAATAATAATAATCACCCAGTGGCGTGTTCTTGATCCGATTTAGTTTTCGGTATTTTCGTTAGCAGCTAATTTGTTTTTTTCCCTACTCGAAAACGGCGTATACTAACAAGATCAAAATTTCAGGGATTATAGAGGCCCATCAAGATAATAATAATCTCCCAGTGGCGTGTTCTTGATCGATTTAGTTTTCGATATTTCGTCAGCAACCAATTTGTTGTTTATAACGTTTTTTCCGATTTTCTCCGAAAACTACGTATATAACAAGATCAAAATTTCAGGGATTATAGGGGTCCACTAGACTAATAATAATCACCCAGTGGCACGTGTTCTTGATCGATTTAGTTTTTCAGCGATATTTTCGTTAACAGCTAATTTGTTTATACCGTTTTTCCGATTTTCTCGAAAACGGCGTATACTAACTGCAAAATTTCAGGGATTATAGAGGCCCATCAGACTAATAATAATCTCCCAGTGGCGTGTTCTTGATCGATTTAGTTTTCGGTATTTTCGTCAGCAGCCAATTTGTTTATAACGTTTTCCGATTTTCTCGAAAACTACGTATACTAACAAGATCAAAATTTCAGGGGACAAGGGTCCACTAGATAATAATAATCACCCAGTGGCGTGTTCTTGATCGATTTAGTTTTCGGTATTTTCGTTAGCAGCTAATTTGTTTATACCGTTTTCCGTTTGCACACCGAAAACTGCGTATACTAACAAGATCAAATTTCAGGGATTATAGGGCCCATCAGACTAATAATAATCTCCCAGTGGCGTGTTCTTGATCCACGATTTAGTTTTCGGTATTTTCGTCAGCAGCCAATTTGTTTATAACGCTTTCCGATTTTTCTCGAAAACTACGTATACTAACAAGATCAAAATTTCAGGGATTATAGGGGTCCACTTAAACTAATAATAATCACCCAGTGGCGTGTTCTTGATCGATTTAGTTTTTCGGTATTTTCGTTAGCAGCTAATTTGTTTATACCGTTTTCCGATTTTCTCGAAAACGGCGTATACTAACAAGATCAAAATTTCAGGGATTATAGAGGCCCATCAGACTAATAATAATCTCCCAGTGGCGTGTTCTTGATCATTTGGTTTTCACTTTCGTCAGCAGCCAATTTGTTTATAACGTTTTCCGATTTTCTCGAAAACTACGTATACTAACAAGATCAAAATTTCCAGGGATTATAGGGGGTCCACTAGACTAATAATAATCGCAGTGGCGTGTTCTTGATCGATTTAGTTTCGGTATTTTCGTTAGCAACTAATTTGTTTATACCGTTTTCCGATTTTCTCGAAAACGGCGTATACTAACTGAGATCAAAATTTCAGAGATTATAGAGGCCCATCAGACTAATAATAATCTCCCGTGGCGTCGGTGCCGATCGATTTAGTTTTCCGGCTATTTTCGTCAGCGACCAATTTGTTTATAACGTTTTCAATTTTCTCGAAAACTTCCATTATACTAACAAGATAAAATTTCAGGGATTATATGAGACAGACTAATAATAATCCCGCAGTGGCGTGTTCTTGATCGATTTAGTTTTTCGATATTTTCGTTGGCAACTAATTTGTTTATACCGTTTTTCCGATTTTCTCGAAACGGCGTATACTAACTGAATCAAAATTTCAGAGTTATAGAGGCCCATCAGACTAATAATAATCTCCCAGTGGCGTGTTAACCCGATCGATTTAGTTTTCGGTATTTTCGTCAGCAGCCAATTTGTTTATAACGTTTTCCGATTTTCTCGAAAACTACGTATACTAACAAAGATCAAAATTTCAAGGGATTATAGGGTCCACTAGACTAATAATAATCACCCAGTGGCGTGTTATGATCGATTTTAGTTTTTCCCGTATTGTTTTCGTTAGCAACTAATTTGTTTGCTACCGTTTTTCCGGTTTTTCTCCGAAAACTGCGTATACTAACAAGATCAAAATTTCAGGGATTATAGGGGCCCATCAGACTAATAATAATCTCCCAGTGGCGTGTTCTTGATCTGATTTAGTTTCGGTATTTTCGTCAACAGCCAATTTGTTTATAACGCTTTTCCGATTTTCTCGAAAACTACGTATACTAAGATAAAGAATTTCAGGGTTATAGGGGTCCACTAAACTAATAATAATCACCAGTGGCGTGTTCTTGATCGATTTAGTTTTCGGTATTTTCGTTAGCAGCTAATTTGTTTATACCGTTTTCGATTTTTCTCGAAAACGGCGTATACTAACAAGATCAAAATTTCAGGGAGTTATAGGGCCCATCAGACTAATAATAATCTCCCAGTGGCGTGTTCTTGATCGATTTAGTTTCGATATTTTCGTCAGCAGCCAATTTGTTTATAACGTTTTTCCGATTTTCTCGAAAACTGCGTATACTAACAAGATCAAAATTTCAGGGATTATAGGGGTCCACTAGACTAATAATAATCACCCAGTGGCGTGTTCTTGATCGATTTAGTTTTCGGTATTTTCGTTAGCAGCTAATTTGTTTATACCGTTTTCCGATTTTCTCGAAGCGGCGTATACTAACAAGATCAATTTCAGGGATTATAGAGGCCCATCAAGG